TGAAACTATCATTTAATGTTCTCACATATATGGACATTTTAATATTAGACTATTTACGAACACCCACAACCTCACATTTATGCAGATATAAGTAGGTATATATAGCCTTGCATATCCTTTTGGGCATCAAAGTTCATTTTTTGTTTTTGCGTCATAAACAAAGCACATTATGAGCAATGAAATTGCGGCCATCATCGGGCGGGCATTAAGAAGCTGTAAATTAATGAAAATTTAATGGAAGTGGAATCATCAATGGAATGATGTTCTCGATGGCGATGATGACGATGATGTCTCTGTTGATGTTGATGGTGGGTTGTTCTGTAGGTGTTAATGATGACGAAATGGCAAGAATTTATTCTCAGAGTGTACAAACGAATCGGAGCGCCACCATCGACACCGATACAAAGTAAATGCATGAGGAAACGAACAATGCCTCAAAGACAAGTCGAACAAGAGACGGTGTGGCACCACATAATAAGGTGATGACTTTTTTGTGGTTGTTTGTATGTGTGTTTCAAAGTCAAAGGCAAAAGATCAACCAAGCCAAGCAGTTATTGTGAACTTGAACTTAATGGAAAGGGGCTTTAAGAGAATTCTGATTTTTTTGTGGGGGTTGAATGGGCTTGACATTTTTTTCGATTCCTGACAACAAGTTTTGTTAGCTATAATTAGTTGGCTAAAATTTAAGCCATATTGGGGATGGTAACAATATAAAAAGTATCAGTCGGTTTCGCCGACAGATATGTATCCATAACCAATGTTCGATTATTTAAATATATTTGGACATCTGTTATGATTATTCAAATCGTTGACCCTTTATGGAGTAGGCTTCGAAGGAATGGGTCAATATTGTCTATTTCGTATCGGACCTAAATAAATTCATTTTAATACCCTCCATCATTCTATGGAGGTTATATTACGAATAGCTTTGTCATTCCGTTAGTAACTCCTCGAAATATTCATGATAGACCCTACAAGGTATATATTCCGGATCAGCGTGAAATTCTAAGACATTTAAGCGATGTCCATCTGTCTATTGAAATGACGCTTTCTTTCGAACGAATTGAGATAGAAAGTTAAAATTTTGTAGACATGTGTAAGCAAGTTAAGTTCGTAAATGGGACATGTCGGTCCACGGTTAAGTATTTCGTTATTTTTGTTTTTCAATTTGTTTCAAATTTCGTATTCGAAGTTTGTAATGGGAACTACATCCTATTACAATAAATTACTTATGCAGATCCACCTCTTCTTTAGCCCAGCATAAATGGTATTTAAATGGTATTTTTGATTTTTTTTTCAAGTTCCTTCCAAATGGTGGAGGTTGTTAAAAGTTCAGCCCGGCCGAATTTAGCTGCTTCTTTACTTGTTATACTTCGTCTAATACAGAAAAAAATATTGGCATGGGCAAATTTAGAGGAAAATCGAACATTTATATCCAATTTCATGCGAAATCATAAATTCCATATTCATCTCACGTTTCTGGTTGAGAGAAATATTTAGATATAGTAAGTTTTAAGGAATCCCAGACTTGTCTCGTAAGTTATGACAGATAAAAGTATTGACAATTGTGACCCTTTGTGGGTGAGGTACCAGAAGGGGTTCGCAGATATATATTATTTTTACAACATATCTTATGTTAGCAAAAATGTTTGGATAGGTGAAATTTAAAGAGAGTCTGATACCTATTTCGTTTTCCTCGAGCGTTTTGTTCTTCAAAAATTTTAACCCATTGTGGGGGAGGTACCGTAAGAAATGGTCCGATCCTCACCATATATATTGAAATGTACCAATTTTGAATAGAAATAGATGTTAGGGTTTTATGAACTTTATGGACTTTCAAAATTTTGACCCTTTGTGGGGAAGGTACCAGAAGAAGTCAACCGATATATCGCATCTTCACAGAAGATCCTGTTGTAGTAGAAATAATGAGATATTTTAAATATCAAGAAAACCGAATACTTATTTCGTATTTTATGGTCGTTTTGGTTATTCATAACATTGACCCTTTGTGGGGGAGGTATCAGGAGGAAAGGATCGATCTCTACAATCATTATCACAGATCTTGTGTTGATAGAAATATTGAGATGTACTAATGGATATTCAAAATTTTGGCAGGTGTTAGTTTCGTATTTTATGAGCTTCATATATATTCAAATTTTTGAGCCTCTGTGGGGGAGGTACTAGAAGGAGTGGATCGATATATCCCATCCTCATAGCAAATCTTGTGCTAGTATAAATAATGAGATGTGTGAAATATGAAGAAAACCGGATGCTTGTTTCTATTTTATGGTCATTTTGGTTATTCAAAACCTAGACCCTTTATGGGGGCGGCACCAGTGGAGTGGATCGATAATTCCATCTTCACATGAGCCGTTGTAATTTCAAGACAATCGGACTCTAATATTACATTTTATAAGAGTTATAATTTCTCAAAATTTAGACCATTTCTAGGGAAGGTACTTGATGGAGTGGTCCGATATTACCCATCTCCGCATTGCATCTAAGTTTGACAACAATATAACGATGTACCAAGTTTGGATCAATTCGGATACCCCTTTCGAGAGTTTTCGAGAGACGGACGGACGGACTGACATCGCTAGATCGACTGCAAATGTCCTGAAACGGATTTGGTCCAAAGAGATCTAGGGTCTAAAACCGTTCTTTCCATAAGTCACGTCTTGGCCGTATCATATGATATATACCCTCTCTAGCCATACGACTGAGGGTATAAAAAGAAACTTGATGGTGGGACGTAAATTCGATCTCTACTGACAATTATTTATAGAGGACATTTGGCCTATAAAATTTAAAATTATTTATCATTTCAATGTACGGGATAATAGAAATACGGGATTCTCGATTTTAACATCTTACAGGATAACTGCCATTTTTGCATTTGGCGCCCAACGATTTGCGCTACTAACTTCAGTTTGAGTTTCTTTTTATACCCTCCATACCATAGTATGGAGGCTATATTTAGCTTGTCATTCCGTTTGTAACACCTCGAAATATTCATTTTAGACCCCACAAAATATATATGTTCTTGATCAGCATAAAATTCTACGTCGATTTGGCTATGTCCGTCCGTCTGTGGAAATCACTCTAGCTTCCGAATGAAATGAAGTAGGTTGATAAAATTGTACTCAAATGCGTATTATGTCTGCAGGACATTTGGTATTGAAAATTGGTCACGTAGGTCCACGTTTTAGTATAACTCCCCATATAACGGCATCTCCCGATATCCGGTATTTGTATGATTTCAGTGGCATTATTTACGGGAACTATTTTCAATTTAGTATTTGAAGTTAGTAATGAGTACTACAGCCTATGAGAGAAAATTATCTGTGCAGGTCCACGTCTTTGATGATTTTAGCGACATTATTCAAAGAATTGTTTCAAATTTGGTATTTTAAGTTCGTAATGGATACTACAGCCTATGACAGAAAATTGTCTGTACAGGTCCATGTTTTGGTATAGCCTTCATACATATAATGGCACCTCCCTATACTTTTTTTTGATGATTATTAGCTACATTATTCACCGATTTTTTTTCAAGTTTCGCAATTGAATATTGCCTGTGCAGGTCCACGTCATCGTATAGACCTTAAAATAACAGTTACATTCGGTATTTTTAAGATTTTAACAGAGTTTTTACCGTATTTTATTTTTTAAAATTGTCAAGTTCGTTCAAAATGATGGAAGGTATTCAAAGATCGGCCTGGCCGAACATACAGCTTTTTAGCCTCCAAACAACAATAAATTTTAACTATTTTTCCAAATAAATTTCATTTAAAAAAGTATTAAATATTTCAAATCTAATTCTAATTAACCAAAACTAGAATCCTAATTTTCCTTCCATTTCCGAACTAAAATAACATTACATTTTCAACTTATGTTTAAGAGTAGCAAGGCTTCCAAAACATCTGTAGTTAAGATTTTCCTCGAGCAGTGAGGTTATTTAATTCTTTCACATAAAAGTAGATAACAATGACTAGCTAATTCCAGGTCGGGACATCATCCAACTGCAATTGACTACATGGCTGTGTGGTTGTATCTGTCCATAAGAGTAACGGTGTTTGCATTTTCCTCACAAATTGTTGAAATGCTTTTCATAATTCTTGCCATGGAGCTTTTCGATTCAACAACAACAAAAAATTTCGTGGAAATAGTTTTGAGAAATGTTTTTGGTTGTTGTTTTATTTTTCCTTTCTCTCCCTGTAAAATTTGTAGATCTTTTACAGAAATGTGAAGTGTGAAGAGAGGGGAGATAAGAAAAAGGGGGAGAGGAGAGGTAATTCAAAATAAATGTTTGTCCTTATCCCCCTTCATGGTGTTAGTTTAGTTCCTCACTTTCGTTTTTTTTTCTGAAGGTTTAAAATTTATAGTTTTTTGTTTTTGGGTTGTAAAACAGGAGCATTTCGTTTGTCCTTGTGAGAGCATCTTACGATGCATGTCTTAACGTTTTAGTACCTTAACTATTATGGAGTTTCGGGAAAGCTTTTGTTTATCTATTTTACAATTTTCTGTACATCAGGGTGAAAATACCAACGGTAAGTGACGTAGTCAATGCAATGGAAATTGCGATAATAATTCTTGGGAATAACCATGAAAGAGTTAAAAATTAAATGGCAAAAATTAAAATAAAAAAATTAAGTGGCTGAAGATTTATTTTATTTGAGAATAAAAAATAAATAGAACAATAAAATATTTAATTAATAAAAAATAAACTATATGTCTTAATAATAAAAATTTATAATAAAAATTAAGAAAAATTTAATTTTTGTCCTCATTTTATTAAGTATCTTAGATAAAAATTTCACTTTTGAATACTTCCTTCAAATTAATAAAATACAATTATTTTGTGGATAAATATATATATTTTTTTAAATATCCCATATTCTCTTCCCTTGAATTTATTTATTTATGTATGCAATTTTTTATAGTAATTGGATTTCATTGTGTGTTCATTTGCCCATCTTCTTTCTTTCGTATCTTTACAGCTTTGCGTTTTTCCAATTTCCTCTATTTTTTGAAAGCAGCAAATAAAAACCAAACACTATCAACATGTCCATCTCTGATTTCCGCAAGAAGAAGTTGTTGTTCTTGTTCAACGTTTTCTTTGGTGAGTAATGGATTTTTTGTTATCTCAGTTTGCTTGTGTGTTTGTATTTTATTATAACTTGTATTCGGATCTGAGGAAAATAAGGTGAACGGATGGAAATTAGAAGGTTATTAAAGTTGAGTAATTAAAAGTTATTTGAAATAAGAATAGGAGGTTAATAAGTAAAGTTAAGATGGAAATATTTAGGAATAGGGGCCAAAATATACAAAAATTCAAATCGAAATTTGTATATCTTCTAAAAATTTAATTTAACTCACTTAAACTTAATTATTAAGGTTTGAATTGCGAATGGATTTCAATTTCACAATGTCCTAAAAAATATTTCTTACCATAAATCCCTGATCCTTTATCAAGATTTTTTTTACAAATCCACTATCAAACAATTTTACAAAATATCCTTAAAATATTGTTTTTGTAAGAAAAATTTGGAAAAACAAGTAAGCAAAGGCTACAGTCGACCGTTGAATACCCTACAACACTATAATAAACGATACTGTTTATATAGGCGAGATACTCGAAAGAATTCCACAAGATATTGTGACAAATTATAAAAGAAAACCATCAGGTTTCGTTCTCTAATTTTCGAATAATAGCAACTTAAACTAATTTGCTCATTTCCAATTTATTGGTAGATGTTGCACGAAAATGGTCTTCCTAGATCTGGAACCAATATTTCCCAAAGACCTATAATCTCTCAGAAGTGGCAAAAGATTAACATTTATTATTGGTTTTTGACTAAAACGCATCTATATGAGATACAGACATTTGACTATATTCTTCCACGAAATCAGCGTTAACGAAATAGTCAGAAGTGCGCCTTTCCTGTATTTGTGAATTCTCCAAAGAGTCACTGGAATGGACATTTTCGTATTTGGCTACAAAAGTTGGCAAACTATTTCGCACATTGAATATTTTTGGATGGCCATCCAAAACTGCTTGGCTTTTGCAATGTCCGGTAACCCACATTCAAATGTGCGTGAGGATCGGGCGATAATTACGACCTGCTGACAATTTTGCAGTTTTTTGGTCCATTTCAACCCCTAAATATATGGCGATCACCTCCAAAAAGAGTAGATCTTCTATTCTGACCCTCATCTTATTCCCATGCAAAATTTCGTAAGGATCGGGCCATAAATGCGATCTGTATATGATATCCTGATATCCTAACTACTTAGTTTTGTTAGCTGTAGAAATATTACCAAATGTTTAATTCAAAATGAAAATATGCCAAAAATATGACAAAATTGAAAAAATATGAGAAAATTTTACAAAATCAATATTTTCATCTTTAGAGAGATATTTTTATGCGATTTTTTAGACTTTTTTCTTTCCTGGCAAGAGGCCATTCTGAATTAATGAGAACTGTCGAAATCAGTTCAGCCGTTCTCGACATATAAGAGATCTTTCAAGCATAACCTCTTTGATAGACATATATATCGCACATATTTTGCTATATATCCGATTTGTTGGATGTTAACATCAATGCAAAGGTCAGAAGTAACCTTGTCATGGCTTAGCGATTTCGCCGGGATTTAAAATATTCGCGGTTTAATGAAAAATGTTGAATTTTTTCAACACAAAAGATATGGTCTATTTTACCCGCTAAATATTATCCGATGACCACCCCAATTGCTTCTTCCCCGCCCTAAACTCTAGCTACATACGAAATTCCGCGTCGATTGGCCTATAATTGCGACCTGTATCGCTACTGCAAAATCCGATATTTTTTAAGTATTTGGTCCATTTCAACCCCTAAACATTTTGGCGATCATAGGCTTCTATTCTGACCCTAACCCCACCTCCATTTTAAATTTCGTGAAGATCGGACCATAATTGCGACCTGCAGAGTGATTACAAATTAACATGGACAGACGGACAGACGGACGGACGGACATACATAGCTAGATCGACTCAGCTCGGCGAGCTAGGAAGATCCATATACACTTTCCTATATGGGAAACCAATATTTCGAGGTGTTACATAAATTCTGGCCCAATCAAACTTATAATACCCCCAACACATAGTGTTGTAGGGCATAAAAATTATAATTAAAAAAACATATGTGTTCAGGATGGCCATTAAAAATTTTCTTCCAAAAAGTCGATTTTTGTCTAAGAATTTTTGTCTTAAAGTCCCCAAATTTTGGACAGCAGATCCATTGTATTTATTTACAAACTAGTAACAGCACACTACTTCTTCATCGAAAATTCCAACTTAAAATTGTAAAAATAGACCCTATTTCTTTTTGGACCAAATACGTTTCAGGACATTTGGAGTCGATCTAGCGATGTCAGTCCGTCTGTCTGTCTGGCTGGTGCGCACGATATCTCTCGAAGGGTACATAATAATATTTTTGTCAATTTTACATCGAGTTAGGATATAGGCAATATCGGTCTACTCTTTCTGGTACCTCCACCAAAAAATGACGAAAATTTCAAAGAAAATATTATATTGCATAGAAAGTGAAAGGATGATCCGATTTTACTCCAACTTTGCAAATCCTATTATTTGCATCAGTGCTAGGTCAGGTGCGAAAATGGACAATATCGGTCCACTACTTCTGGTACATCCCTGACAAAATGTCAAAATTTTCAAAAAATATATTTTCTGCACAGAAAGATAAGTGATAATCCGATGTTGCTCCAACCTTGCAAATCCTAATATTTGTGTCGATTCTAGGTCAGGTGCGAAAATGGACAATATCGGTCCACTTTATCAAGTATCTCCCACACAAATGGTCCAAATTTTGAATAATTACAATTCAAATTATGATTACCTTCAAATATCACACATCCAAATAATTTTTTTAACTCAAGGTTTGGTTTTAAAATGGAATATATCGGTCCAATCCTTCTGGTATCTCCCCCACATTTTCAAACAAAATATATATTTTCTGCTCAGAAAAAGAAGCAATAATTGCTACATCTTTGCAAATCCTAATATTTGTCTCAGTTCTCGGTCAGGTGTAAAAATGGATAATATCCGTATACTCCATCAAGTGCTTCCCCCCAAGGGGTCAACATTTTGAATAATTATAAATTTTATAAAATGTTATGTAAGAGTCCAATTGTCTTCAAATTTCACACAACCCAATATTTTTATAAAGATCTGGTGTTAAGATGGAATATATCGGTCCACTACTTCTGGTATCTCCCCCACAAAAGGTCGAAATCTTGAATACCCATAAATCTCAAAAAACACGAAATTAGCATCCGATTCTATTTAGACTTGGCGCATCTGAATATTTTCATTAACACAGGATCGGACCATTCCTTCTGGTTCCTCCTCTACAAATGGTCAAAAATTTTAATATCCATGAAGGTCATAAAACGCGAAATAAGCATCAGGTGCTCTTTATATTTCACAAATAATATTATTTCTACTAACACAAAATCTGTTGTGAAGATGGGTTATATCCGTCCACTCCTTCTGGCACCTCCCCACAAATGTTCAAAATTTTGAATATCCATGAAGACCATAAAAAGCAAAATTAACATCGGATTTCCATTCCAGACTTGGTACATCTCAATATTTCTATCAACAAAAGATCTGTTATAAAGATGGTAGAGATCGGACGATTTCTCCTGGTACCTGCCCCACAAAAAAGCGATATAAGCTTCCAATTTTCTACAAATTTCATACATCAAAATATTTTTGCTAACGGAAGATCTGTTGAAAGATGATATATATCTGCCAACCCCTTCTGGTACCTCATCCACAAAGGGTCACACTTTTCAATACTTATATCTGTCATAGATTGCGAAACAAGTCGGCGATTGTTTAAAATTTGCTGTATCGAAATATTTCTCTTAAAGAGAAATCTGATATGAATTTAAAATTTATCGAAATTTATGATTTCGCATAAAATTGGTTATAAATGTTCGATTTGCAAATACCAATATTTTTTGTGTATTAAATTGAGCATGAAAACGGAATACTTCGGTCGACTATATCTCGTACCTCACGCATATTTTAACATTTTGTAAAGATTATCACATATCTAATATAAAGTATAGGTAGTAGTCGATATAGTCTAAATCTCGCACGTTGTAATATTTTTATCAGCCATAGGTCAGACACGAATTGGGCAATATCGTCCAACTACTTCGGAACCTCACGCATAAAGGGTCAACAGTTTTAATAATCGTAACTCAGGGCTGGGGTATACATCTGTCGGCAAAACCGACCTATACTTTTTTTCATAAAATTTTAATACGAATTTTAAAAATTCAGTCTTATTACAGACCTACATAACAAGGCCGACCCTCGTGAGAAATTTCAAGATTTCAGTTTTAGCTGTTTCGGCGTTGATGCTAACTCTCTTTTATATTTATATAGATTTTACAAGCCTGTATGAAATACAAAAAAAAATTGAAAAAATATAATTAAATGTTAAAAAGTTAAGTGCGAAATTATTTTGCAATAATTCTATAAAGACGGAAACTATGCTTTAATATCAGTTGATAAAAAAAAATTGGCATGTTCCTTCATCAATAAATTTCTTTACATTTTTCAAACCCATTTTTCTTATATTGCCCATGCTGCGTATAAGTAATGACTAATTTGTTGAACAACAATCATACGCCACACGTTACACTTTAAATCACTTGAAAAACATGAAAACCCCTACCCTTCAGTTTTGAAAAAAGAAAAAAAATAAACATCCTCAAAGTAACAATCAATACTTGGCATTGTTTCAACACAATGTTAGCCATTAATTTAACCAAAATATTTACAAACAACAACAAGGCCCAAGAAAACAATTGCCTTGCGAAAAATTGAGTGTTGTGGTCATAATTTTTTATTGATTTTTTTTTAACAAACATTTGCCTCTTTTCACAACACTGTGCCCATTGGGGTAGACAGACAATTTGCATTTGGGACATATGTTGCGTATTAGTAATGTGAAGAATACTTATACGCCCAAGGGCACTTGAAAACACTTTGGCAATACAACATTGTCTGGTCACCCTTTGAATTTTTTCCATAAATGTGTTAAG